ATTTTGTATTTTGAAAATTACGAGTCATCCACGCGGCTGACAGGTTGTTCAATCGAAGTCGTGATCATGACCTCCGCCTCACTTATTGGACAGCCAAATCATGTGGTGCTCCTGCATAGTTATTAGTTACTAGTTAGGGCAGACTCACACTACCGCTAGGCACTCCAAATCGCAGAATCGTAAAATCACCGGCCGGATCCAGTCGTCCTAATCCAAGAGAACTCGACCTCGTCGCTGTTTTCACTATTCTGTGATTTCGAGTGCCTACCGGTAGTGTGAGTGCACTTTTAGAACAAAAAAACAGTCAACTGAAAGAAATGAAGAAATGAGAGCATGAATGCCGAGACAAAAAGGTTCTTTTAAATTTTAATTCCTTTTTTTTTTTTTTTTTTTTTTTGGAAAACATCACCGTGAGTGGCCCTGCCGCAGATGGGGATGCTGAGACAAAAAGGTAGTTGCACATGGAGAAGAAAAGAGAAGAGAAACCCAGATGAGCATCACAATGTGGATAGAAGATTGATTATGGCTGTTATTATCAATGACAATTGTTGTTGTTGTTGTTGTTGTTATTTTTTGTTTTTGGGGGCGGGCGCAATGGTTAAGTGATATAACACGCGAAAGTTCAGAAACTGTTCACATCCCTAAGGAATACAATAATGCTAGCGGTTGACTATTGTTTTTCTTTCTTTCTTTCTTTCTTTCTTTCTTTCTTTCTTTCTTTACAATAATTTAGAATACCGTAGCAGCGTAGCTTCAGGAATTTTCCAGCTGCTGCTGCTGGTGGAGTGGTCACACAGTTGTTCGTTGACGATAATTGTGGTGGGACTAGATCATATAGAAAGTCCGACTGTATTCCTAAAATTGGCAACTAGAAAGTCCGACCGTATTCCCAAAATAGGCAAGGTTGAAACCACCCCTACTTTCACCGGGCTTGGCTCTCTGAGGAATTACCTGCTGTGTCAGAACCGGGAACAGATCTGGTACTTGCCCTTCGAAAACTTGACGACAAATGGGAATGAAATGAGCCCTGTACGACAATTGAAAACGAAAAACAAATAAGAACAGTAAAAAACAGGAGGACAGCGGACGACAGTTAATGAATGGAGAGCTGGCGGGTTGAGCTGGAGGGTCCCCTTTAGGAGGGTGGTCGTATCACCTCCTCAAGTGCACTCCTCCACCAAAAAAAAAAAAAAAAAAAAAAAAGAGGACAGAGGAGCATTGGTCCAGAAAAGACAAAGTAGGGGGCAAGCTGGCCGCGCAGTTGGTTAGAGCTCCGGTGTTGCAACCAAGAGGTTGTGGGCTCGATTCCGGTGAATCCGGTTGGCGCTTATCCTCTTGTGTGCAAGCTCAGTTGGTACACCCCACACATATTATACTTGCTTCCCAAGCTAGTGGACAGAAGGATATTTAAAAGGACCTGCAGGGGGAGAATATTCCAAACGGATCAAGGAAATCAAACTGGCCTTCCAGACAACCTGGGGTTAGAGTCGAAGAAAGTAATACGCGAACTTGAGCCCTGTGGAGTGTGTCCGCTGTCTGGCCAACCCGGGGGGTTGCTCATAGGAAAGTGTATAAGACGATCATGCTTGGCGACCAAAGTGCTCGTACAACAAGGCTCGTTCGATAGTGCTTCAACTGGGGCTGGGTGTCCCGGCCTAGCGCTGGTGCCTGCAACTGCTGTCCGGTATATCCGAGGTAGGGCCAACAGTGCCCCCGTAGATGCATAGATAGCATCTCCCGTGCTTCTAAAATGGCACGTATGTAACGCTATGTATGTTCATCCTGCTATACGTGCCAGGATGCTATGTGTGCTTCTCCCGAAGGCTATGTGTGCTCTGTGTAGCTGTATAGCAGGATGTACGTACATAGCCTTACATACGTGCCGTTTTAGAAGCACGGGTCAATTCTCCCACTAAGGAAAGAAGAACGGCACGTACATCCTGCTATACACAGAGCATACATAGCCTTTGGGCATACACAAAAACAGGCTTGTGAACATACACACAGCCTACGGGCTCATACATACATAGCCTCTGGGCACACATATACATACAACTATAATACCGGGCTGGAGGGTCTATCAGGTACATGACGGGGCCTGCTCATGCATGGCTTAGACTCTAGGGTACGGTAGGGATATAAGTCGCTCCAGCTAGTTCCACCTAGCCTCGGGTAAGTTACGGGAAGGGCGGTAGGATGTGTCCATGGGAACCAGCTTGCCTTGCCTAGGTACTCCTGCAGTGCTGGGCAGACTCTCTGACATTGGGCCTGTAGAAGATTGCATGAGCCTGGCGTCCGAAGTTCCCATATGGCAAGGTTCGTCCGCTTCCGCTTCCACTAGGGCTGGGGGGTTGGCCCAGCCTTGGTGCTTGTCAGTGCTGTCTGGTCCAAGTTGCCCTCGATACTGGTAGGGTGATGGTCCTGAGTGCAGGTCACACTGAGGTAGGATAGATAATAGGGATAGGGGGTGCGCTGGGAGCATTAACATAGGTAAGGGTAGGGAAGGTGCCTATCCTGCCAGGACAATCATCGGCTGCAACTGCCAGCGATCACCATGCGTCTCGTCCTTGGCCTCTACAACACCCTGAGCCTTTTAAAACGAAAAAAAAAAAGACAAAAAAGAAGCCATATAGAACCAGCTATAGGCCATGGGAAATAGAGTACTGCTGTAAACGACCAGTTCACTGTCGACCCAACTTTTGGAAAAAAGACTGTCCATTAACACAGAGCGTCAGATAGGCTTGGAGTGCACATCAGGAAAAGGCAGGCAAGCGGTGCATTCACACGGTGGTCTCGGCTCCTTATGAGCAGGCAAAAAAGCGGCGCAGAAAAATGAGGCGGAGAACAACATGTGGGTTTAAAGCAGCTAACATCGAACGATGAGCCCAGCTTAAACCACCAGTACACCCGACCCTAAATGTACGAACCTAAATTTTGAATTTTGCCGAGCCTGAAAGCCATGGGCACCAGCTCTTGGAAAATTGGGGTGGTACCGGTACCGGCCTCTGTGCTGGACCTGCTGTCAGGCGATGGGATGAAAAGGAGGCCGCTGTTTTCACTCCTTGACACCCAGCCAAACACCCACAGGAGAGAGCACCCGCATGTAGCACATATCGGGTGCCAGATGCAGGCGCCTCATCATGAATGGCTGCCTGTTTGCAAAACGAGCGGGCAGTAGTACATAATTTTCCCATACAGCTGAAAAAAAAATAAAGCAGAGGACCTCACGACACCAGATTGTCTGCAAGATCTTAGGGCACCTCGTTTGTCCTCTGACAGCTGTGCTGCCACATGGTCCACACGAGATTCATAGTGTTCACTTCCTGAGCCAGATACACACCTGGATTCCCACAGCACTGGCCGTTCTCCTCGGGCAGGCACTCGAAAAAAAACAAGTTCTTTTTTTTTCCGTTTTTCCTTTCTTTTCGGTGCCAACGAGGCAGGAGCACTTTACTTTTCTGTGCCCGTATGCAGACACAGAATGGGTGCGGATACATAACCTGTGAATCACTGCATACTTGCCTACAGCGGGCGTTTCTGCCCTTTTTCCTGAAGTTTGAGGGTTTTCTGCCCTCGTATAGTGCATGCCCACCATGTCGAGGGCGTTTTGCCACTTTGTTCCTTTTGTTCCAGTTTTTCTTTTTTTTTTTTTGCTATAGCTGGGCTTCATCCGTGCATGTGTTTTCACAGTCACAGACTGAACGTGTACCAGCGGGCAAACACAACAGTCCATTTGCCTTTTTCTTCTGGGCCCACCTCTTTCTCCCCCGACGCACTACCGGGCCCTCCCTGAGCCTCAAATTTCTCTTGTGGCGACAAGTTTACTTTTCTGCAAGGCTGGGGGCGTGTACTGGTGGTTTAACACTGAGCCACGTAACGGCTCGGAGTGCTTGTTGGTAAAACGGAGACGGCCATTGCGATGACAAATCTCGTGTGCTGCCAATGGTTCTGGATTCCTATGCGCAGACAAAAAAGCGCATTAGAAAAATGAGGACTCCGAACAACACGTGGTTCAAACCAGCTAATATCACATGATGAGCCCAAGTCACAGCAGGTCCACATGAAAGGAGATTCCCCAAGGATCTAACATATCAATACCTTTTGGAGATAGTGCCAATTTCTACCGTAGGTGTCAGACACCCAACTCCACCCACGCAAAAATTGAGAATTATCCGAGGTCTCCAATCAAAATTGCACCAAAACCGCCAGTATTTCCGAACCTCTTTTTTTTATGGTGATTTTTTTGATTTTTTGAAAAACCGAATTTATATCACAAGCAGGGAATGAAAGAAGGCTCAAAAAAAGAGGAAAAGCATCTCCATTTGACTGGATGGCAAACCACAATCCCCCCCAAGGAAGGGGGGGGGCAACTTGTGTCCTCCCTTCACTGGTACTCAGAGACATGAACTCACCTGCATTGGGCGTCGCTCCACTGCAGCACCGGAATCGCACCTCCCAAAACAATATTGGTCGGGCCGAGCCACTGGCTTTCGCTACAAAATGAATGGAACCTGTTGTCCTGTACATGGAAAGCGTATGGCTACGCTTTGGAAAGACGCTGGCTGTGGAAAGGCTCAGCGTACCCCTCGCAAAAAGGCGGAAGCCAGGCAAATCACACACCAGGGTTAGGATTTCGTAGAGCTAGGCAAAAATCAGGGTCGGGGAAAAGACACTCGGAACAATTGGTGGGTGTAGCCTAAGACCAAACTGAGAAGAGGTCTGTCTGTTTGTATCTATCTGATTCCAGCAGGATTCGAACTTAGGATCTGTTCATCAATGTCCATCGGAACATCCGTTCAAATTGGAACAATACGGAGAAGATTAGCATCGCCCCTTAGCATCGCCCCTGTGCAAGGATGACACGCATAAACCGAGAAATGGTCCAAAAAAAAAAAAAAAAAAAAAAAAAAAAAAAAAGGATCTGTTCATGAATAGTAACGCGCGTGTACCGTTCCATTCAGCCACATGGACCAGGTACGCCCCTCCTGCTTTCTTTCTTTCTTCAAGTTTCTTGTTTGTTTCCCTTCTTTTTTGGTTCTAACTTCTAAACCAACCCTCTATTATTACGCGCCAACTGCCAAAGGCAAAACCAGAATAGACGCAAGTTTCCAGAGGTCAACTCGCCTCAGACCTTCGCTCTCGGGCGAGACTCTCGCCTGAGACCTTAACTCTCGGGCGAGAGTCTCGCCTGAGACCTTTGCTCTCGGGCGAGACTCTCGCCTGAGACCTTTGCTCTCGGGCGGGACTCTCCCTAGGAACCCAGCCGAGCAAGAACACTTCCTATCTACACCAAAGGCGATCCAGCAGTTAACAGCTGGCTCCATAACGCAGACGAAACTCGCAAACTAAGAGAACATAGACCTAGCACTACAACACAAAAACAAAGCAGTGGGCACAGAGTCAAGAGCACTTTGGCTCTAAACTAACAGAAAATAGACCCAGCACAACAACGAAGAGCAGGGCTCGACCGAGCAAGGGCACTTCGTATATACACAGAAGAAAATCCAGCAGAAAAATTGCAGGCTCCAGAGTCCAAACTAGTAGAAAATAGACTCCGCACTACAACGCAACACTGAAGAGCAGGGCTCAACAGAGAAAGCGCAATTCGTATGTACACAGAAGAAAATCCAGCAGAAAAAAATGCAGGCTCCATACCACCGATAAACCTTGCAAACCATCAACAGGGCTAGCTCAGTTGGTACATCCATGACTTGTTGAAATAGAAACCTGAGTCCGAATCCCAATCCAATCATTAAAAAAAAAAAAAAAAAAAAAAAAAAAAAAAAAAAAAATCTTGCAAACCAGCTGGACATGCATCTTGTACTAGATCACTACGACGCAGAGCAGACGCACGGCCCAATCAAGGGCGGCTTTGAACGAACAGGAGTCAGGACTGTACAGTATACATCGACTGATCTGGTCAGCTATGTACCAATCGACCAGTGCAGACCAGACAGCCATTTGCCAGCTGTAAGCTGTAAACTGTACAGGTTCCCAGAATAATGCTTGACAAAACCTCCTGACGGAATACTTAAGTAATTCCGTTAGCCATTCCGTTAGGAAAACATTCAAAGGACTCCCGCAGCAAGATCGGTTGGGCAAGGTAGTAAAAAAATCCCTCCAAAAAAAATAGAATTAAAAAAAAATAAAAATTCCTCCAGGAGTCCAGGATATTTTATAGGTGTGAGCGAGTGACCACCCTCAATGCTGATCCAGTCCGTGTACGGACATTTCCACACCGGAAAGCGAATGTCGTTTATTTCAGCTAAGTATATAAGAAATGATGTAGAAAATAATTTTACACGGTATTTATTACCTCTTTCGGACCTAACACCTACACTACTTTGCGGAAGAAAAAAAAGGAACAAAAAAAAACGACTTTACATCCATCTCATGAGGCAACTTCTTCGTGTCGTTGGGTCGAAAACCCCAACAACGAAAAAAACGTCAAGACCAATCCTTCTTGTTCTTTTCCTTCTTCAACTCCTATCCTTCTCTTTACGCCAAAGAACGGGAGGGCATGACCCAGAAGGAGAGGAAGGAGAAAAGGGAGAGGACGGCACAGACAAGCAGACACAGAAATCAGTAGCAGAAGCAGAATTGGTAGCAGCTGACGGACAAGGAGGGGAGGAAGTGGAGGCTTCCACCAGGATGAGGAAGAGGAGGAGGAGGAGAAGAAGAGGAGGGAGGAGATCATGGAGAGGAGGAGGACCATCAGTGGATTCAATGCCTTCGTGTGGTTGGTCTATCACAGCAGAAAGAGCCAACAAAAAGAGAAAAACAGCAACAGCAGACGCGGCAGCAGAATAAGGAGGAGCAGCGGCAGCACAATTATGAGGAGGAGCAGCAGAGAAAGGAGGAGGAGAAGAGTAGGATAAGTACGAAAAGAAAAGAGAACCTACAGCAGAAGCAGCAGCAGAATTAGGCGTAGGAGGAGGAGAGAGACGAGGAGAGGAGGACGGTAAGGACGAAAAGAGAAGAGCAGCAACAGCAGACGCCGCAGTCAGAATCAGGAGCAGAAGAGGAGGAGGAAGAGGAGGAAGAGGAGGAAGAGGAGGGAGAGGAGGGAGGAGGAGGGAGGAGGAGGGAGGAAGAGGGTGGAGGAAAAAGAAGAAGAGGTCTGTTTTGGCGATGGCAACATTAGCAGGTCTCATGTTTGTAATGTTTTTCTCTCCCCCGACCATACCGTACTCACCCTGCGCAGAGGGACAGCCGACTTGAGCCTCTCTGCAATTGTCCTCAAGTCAGTTGTCTTTAGTTTCCAGTCTAGCTGAAAAGTACATTTGCCTTGCTCCTCTGCCTCCTTCTCCTCCTCCTCACTAGTCGAGGACGTGCAAACCATTCGCCCCTGTGGATCAGACCCATCCACCACTCCCATCGGTCCGTTACCCCTACCATTATCTGTGGTCGTATGAAGGGCGCCCACTTTCTTGTTGCCACGGTTACGATAATGATGATGATAAAGCCGATTTCGATGAAGATGATGATGATGATTGGGCTGCTGCTGATGATGATGACGATGATGATCATGATGGTGATGATGATGGTGATGGTGTAGTCGATGACGAAAGGAACTTTGGTTATGGCGGTAGAGCTGCTGCTGCAGCGGAGCTTGGAGCGGCTGCTGGTTGTTGTTCTTGTCGTTGTTGTGTGCTAGGGAGGAGAATGATGGTGGTGGGGGCTCTGTTTGAAATTCCGTTGATGTCAACAGGTTGCCCTGACCCAAGAAGTTGCCGTTGGTGACTCCTGTTGCTCCAGGGATGGTGTTTGAAATTCCGTTGCCGTCAACATGAAATTCAATTGAGCTCCGCGGACCCCCCCTTGTCGTTGGATTCACTGTGGTCATCGTAATGCCGTTGGAACCTTGGAGTCGCGATTCCGACTCCGAACGGGTTATGATTTCTGATGATCTGACATCGGAGGGGCGTTCCTCCTCCTCGGCTGCCACATGGCGGGCAACCAGCCTCTTGTAACTCTCCCCCTCCAGGAACCCTCTTACTTTGTCACTGAATGCTCGGATCTGCTCGTCCTCGTGCCAGGAAACGGTAAAACCCAAGTGCGCATGCCTTAGGGCCCCACAGTGGACAGCGCGCGACACCGCCGCAAGGCCTTTTCGACGAAGGTTTCTCCTTAGATCCCTGAGCAATCGCTGAAACTTCCCCTCAACTTCTGGATTCAAGAAGGTGGTGCCATCCCGTGCATACATCAAGGCATTGTGGAAAAAGAGTGGTCGATTGACCATTGCATCACAGTCACTTCGTTGCGCCAGCGTGGCCAGGAAATCGCCGAACCGCCGTCCGAGCCCCAGCCCTGGTAATTGCTGACCTGGCAACAACGATCTCTTCTCCTTCTCCTTCTCCTTCTCCTTATTATCCTTTTCCATATCCCCAATGCCACGTCCACGTGGTTGAACAACAGGGGCCAGAGGATTTTGAAGGAGTAACCATTCTACCATGAATATAGACAGTCCAGACCGTAAACTGGCCAGCCATTCTCTGATACACTCGACTCCATCGATCACCTCTTCGCAGTCTTGCAAAGCATTGAACCTGGTCATGTCAGAATCTGACATAACTCTGACAAACAGTTGACAAAGAGGCTTGTTCACAGTGGCGCTGTAGAGAAACATCTTGTGGACGAACGCATCCTTAAGGTCAAAGGCCAACCTCAGGTCATCGTGAAAGCCACGGGAACGCAGTCGTTCCAAGCACCCCGTCTCTTCCAGCATTCCAAGCACCTGGTATTCTGAAAACCGGTCCAGGAACAGGTGTGTGCTCGATCCGTGGTTCAAAACCTCGGTTTCCACATCGACACCGCCCAAATCCAAATCGAAATTAGCATAATCTGAAGCAGCTGCTCCCTTGATGCCAGCTTTCTTTCCCGCCATCTTGGTTTTCAAACCCTCGGTTTGAAAATGCGCATTTTCTTTTTCTTCTTCTTCTTCTTCTTTTTCTAATTCCCCCAGTGCCCCTCCGTTTTCCTTATTCCCGACAACCACCTTCTTGCCACCTCTGGTTTCTCCCTCAGCCGCCACAGATGCCATCTCCATTTCCTCTCTCTCTCTCTCTCTCTCTCTCTCTCTCTCTCTCTCTCTCTCTCTCTCTCTCTCTCTCTCTCTCTCTCTNCTCTCTCTCTCTCTCTCTCTCTCTCTCTCTCTCTCTCTCTCTCTCTCTCTCTCTCTCTCTCTCTCTATCTATCTATCTATCTATCTCTCTCTCTCGCTCGCTCTGTGTGTGTGTGAGCGTGTGTGTGTGTATGAGTGTATGCGTATGTATTTGGAGCAATAAAAAAAGTTTTCCCCTAGTCAGTCTGTGTGTGATACACTTCCACTCTCCAACATCCAATCCGATGCATTTATTCGGCTCAATGTTAACAGCCGGGGAGTAGATGATCGCTGAAGTGTTATCCTCTCATTTCACCACTCCTCCATTTTCCATTCGTTCTCTTCTCTTCCTCCTCCCACATCGAGGGTGAGCAGCATGAGGTAATCTATCAACGACATCCAATCCAAATCATACTGCAAATTGAATTCCCTGTCCATCACATCTTGTCCATGCAGGCCTCTCGTTTCACACATGGAGAAACCTTCCTCCGTCGACTTCCAACTTCGACAAAGACACCGAACTCCTCTTTCGTGCACAAACACACCCCAAGACGCGCAACACACAACTCACAAGAATGCATAACACACAACACACAACACACAATGTGCAACACAAGGCGCACAGCACACGACTTACGATACACCACACAAAGGTATTGTTTTAGACATGTTGTGAACAATGTCGTAGCGCACAAACACACCTCAAGACACAACACACGACAACACAGAACGTACGACACAAGGCACAAAACACAACGAAATACACGGCACAAAGGTATTGGTTTAGACATCGTCCTCAACAATGTCATAGTCAAATTAAAAAATAAAAATAACAGCCAAAAAAGTAAAAAGTAAAAATCAGCACACTTAAAAGCCATTTGCTCTATACCCACTGAGCTACTTGATACCTAGGCTACCAGAGTGGCCCGGGTCCACTTGCCTGGCCGGGCCAAAAAAATATGAAAAAATTTAAAAAAATATTATATATTTTTAATGAAAATTTTTATTTTAAATTTGGTAAAGAATTTCGATGTGACCCTGAGGCAAAAGTTGTTCAGTTTATTTTTCTGCATAACATAGTTTTTTTTCGGATTTTTTGGATTTGTTTTTCTTTTTTTTTTTTTTGGCTGGGACCTTCCCTGGTCCTTGCATGGCCGGGCCGCCCGGGAAAATCGGGTGACCCGGGCGGCCCGGCTGGTAGCCTAGCTAGATACCTTTCTAATGCAACCCACAACAGACAATACACAAGACACAACACGCAACACAACTCACAACAAACGACAGAACATATATGAGGCACACAACGCACAACACACAACCAAGGGCACGCAAGAAGGAAAATGCACAACACACGATGTCGTTTCACGTTCCTCGGGGATTGCTAGAGGGAATCGGAGTTCAAAATTAGTGTAACCAATGAATGCCCGCCAATGTCGGCCTCTCGTACGGGGATGAGGCATCCGTACCCCCGTACGTCCATACGTATGGCCTCCCCGGGCAGTCGGACAGGTGTCCATACGGGATTCGGCGCCGCATTAGGGGCCTTCCGGGTGGGCCCTGAGGAAACCAAAGGCATGTGGGGGGGGGGGGG